CGTCCTGAACAGGCCAAAGTCCGCCCTCCGGAAGCCCATGGTTGCGGTTTTGCTGCCCCGCCTCCTTACTTCACCAAGAAGCGAGAATTCTATCATTTCATGGTTGCTAAGCCCAAGACGGCCTCCGACCACCACATCTCCCACCAGTCCTTCTCTGTTAGTAAACAGCAGGTCAAGCGAGGCACCTCCCCTGGTAGGCTCAGTGGGAAATCCTCCTTCGTTTGGAAAGTCAAGCGAGAGGGTGCGTGAGCCCAAGGGTTTGCAGATCACCAGCCCCATGGGGGCCGTGAAAAGGGCACCCCAAGGGCTCTCACCCCTTGAACCAGTGGGGACCGCGGCCACTGTGCTGATGCAGGAGATGGGGCTGTTTGTGCCCAGAAGGCACTATGGCAGCCATGCTGACAGCAAGGATGTCCCTCCGATCAGCAACTGTGGCTATATTTTAATTTGCCAGCAGGTTCTGCTTTGGAAACCACTCTGTTCAGATCCCTTCTCTGATACTCCCTGCCTTATTCCCTTTCACACAGAGGGACAAATCAGTGCCCTACTTTCTCCCTGGGCTGGCCTGCTTCTATGCAGAGGGAGCAGATGCTTTTTTTAAATAAGCGCTTTTGATGGTTCCCAGGTGCTGCAGAGTGCCCTGCTCCCTGCCTCAGATAAAGGATGGCAGCATGGGCACATGCCCTCTGTATGTTGCTCACCACCCGGTCGCTCCTCTGCGCTGTAGCGTGTTCGGGGCAGCACGTGGTCGCTGGTCAATGGGAGAGACAAGGCTGGAGCTTGAGCTGGGTGGAAGGCTGCCTGCCCCCATGCAGTTAGTTTCTAAAGCTCCTCTGTGATGAGCACTTTTTTGAAAGATATCTATTATCCATCCAGCTTAGCAATGGCAAATTTCTCAACTGGATCAGCAGTGCTGCATTTAGTCTATTTTTAACTTAGTTTTCAATTCTCAACATAATTCCAATGACATAGGTTTGTGTGTGCCCTTTATTTTACCGAAACCATCTCCTTTCTTCCCCAGGAGCTCATACAAAGGCTGCATTCATCCCTCCCTTGTCCACTTCTGCCTTTCTGTTGTGCTTCCTAATCGCTGCGTAATGCCACATCCTGGTGGAAAAACAAAAGCCATCTATTAGAAACAACGTAAGGATGAAATCTCAGTTCATTGCAGCTGTCCTTGCAGCTACTGACAGCCCTACAAGTTTGGTCTGGAAATACATTTCAGCTGGAATATTGGCAAATTCATGAGTGCTGCAAATACCTGAAATCCTCCTCTGCAGGTAAAATGCTCCGAGGCTGGAATAATTGATATGTAGTAAATATTTCTCTCCTGGCAGCCAAAACATGCAGCTAATGTATATGTTTGGCAACTGTGTTTCTGTTGAGTGTTTTGGCAATATACTCATGTTTACACCCCTTACTCCTCACTTCCTTCCTTTGCAGCGTAGGCATGCTGTAAGCGGCAGGATAGAAACAAGCACTGCTGTCACTTAGCAACCTCCGCTGGCTTTGAGATGTTGACTTTTT